TTACATATTTGTGTAAAATAAATCAACAGTGTATTAGCATCTACGCCATAATAACCGTTGAAGTATGAGATTGATCAGGCCTATCCGTCTGTTGTAAAAAATGAAGTAGCTGGCAGAGTCTCAGTTTGTGCGACGGCGATGAGACCATTGCAGCCTACTGAACCTTTTTGTGAAAATTTGTTTCAAAAACTGTGAAAGGTAGACTGGGGTGGACCGCCTCCCATCACTGTTTTTTTTTTCTATGTTCCGACCTCATTCGGAAAGCTATCGGTTTACTGGTTTGAGAGTTTGCTTACCGATGACCTTATTAGTAGAGCTGCGGGCATGCCAGTTTGATAATCGCAGACAAGTGTCCAATTTTGTCTTTGATAGTGTGGCCACCAGCGATGATTTGCATGTGAATTTGTCTACAACGAAGCAGACTTGCTCTAAATCTGGTCCGACACTCATTGTCTACGCGTGCAGCACGCTCTTTTTTCTGTTTCGTGTATGTGCGAGGCCCTATTTTTGGCGAAGAGTTCCAACTCTCTTACTGTTCAGAGTGCCTTTACAACCAAGTCAAAAAGGAATTGTTACAGCCTGACCTTTCAGTCCTTACAATGACCGCGTTTCGACGTCAGTCCTGTTAGGCTCAAGAAAATCAGCACTTTTGTCCACCTTTCCTGCTAGCTACCCCTACTGGTTTGGCCGTAGAGTATTCGTTTGAGCAGGATCTCGGTGTCTGTGGTTCCTTTCTGTCACTGCAACTTCACTGTTGTCGGGAGTGTTTAAGTGAAAATGGTTGAATTTGTTTGCTTGGCCCTCGTATGCCCCGTGCAGTAGCATGATCGGGACACCAACCCGGCATGCCATGAATTTGGTGTTGTGAATGATGTCACGGAGGTTCTAGCTCTACTGGCTCCAGAGATCTGATTTGGGAATTTGTCATCAATGTTTATGCCTATTAGAACGATGCCTCTTAGCCACGTTAAGTGGTCCACAGACGGGAGGCAAGTTTAATTAGCACTGGTCGTGGGTTAGTTCCAATAACTGGTTGGTGCGTTACCACTGTCTTCTTCTTGCTGCTTAGCAATCCACAGCTGGAGCAACTGGATGCGATAGGGTCTAAACTCCGCTACATGCCTACTGCCATATGATGTTAAGCGTACATTCA